CTCAGCCTTCCAAGTAGCCAGAACTACAGGAGCATGCTACCACACCTGGCTAATCTCTGATTTATTGTAGAGACGAGGTCTCGTCAAGTTGCCCGGGTTGGTCTCGAACCCACAGGCTCAGGCAATCCTCTCGCCTCAGCCTCCCAAAGTGCTGGGATGACAGGCTGAATCACCGAGCCTGGCCTCTTTTTCTTTTTTTTAAAGAGACATGGCCTTCTATTGACACTCAGGCTGGAGTGCAGAGGTGCCATCGTAGCTCACTGCAGCACTGACCTCCTGGGCTAAAGCGATCCTCCTGCCTCAGCCTCCTGAGTAGCTGGAACTACAGGTGTGGGCCACCATGCCCAGGCTACCATGCCAGGATAAGAACAACTTTCCTAAGGCAAATTCTCTACCAAAGCACTAAACACTCCAAAAAGAATATCAAAAGCAATTCTAGTCACCAATGGCAAAATACTTGAGTCCCATAAGACTCTGAAACTAACTATCAACAGAGATTCTGAAATGCAAAAATAAGATTAAAGAGAGCAATAATGCCCAAAATTTTAGAACTAGGCCCTGGCCAAAGGTATTAAAGAAACTCTTGGGCCGGGCAGTGGCTCACGCCTGTAATCTCAGCACTTTGGGAGGGAGAGGTGAGAGGAATGCCTGAGCCTAGGGATTCGAGACCTGTGCAACTTAATGAGACTTCCTTTCTACAATAAATCAAAAAATTAGCTGGGTACGGTGGCACACGCCTGTGGTTCCAGCAGCTCCTTGCAAGGCTGAAGTGGAAGATCACCTGAGCCCAGCGGGTCGAGGCTGTGGTGGCCATGAGCATGCCACTGCACTCCAACCTGAGTGACAGAGTGACACTCCAACTCAAAAGAAAACCTCGTGGCTACCAAGTACACCACAGGGTCTCTGATCCCTAAGTCAAAGAGCAACACTGCAAGGCAGCAACACTTGGAAACACCAGACACCAGAGGCAAACGCAGCAGAGGGATGCCAGCCAGACAGCACCGGGAAAGCGAGCCAACCAGCACAACAGTTCTAAGCACCCAGCTGAGCTGACATCCAAACCCAGTCGGTGGACAGCGCCCCACCCCCAGCCCCGGAGCCCTCCACGACAGTCAGCCCTGGGAGAGCTGGCGAAGACACATCCCGGGCTCCCTCCTCCCGCTGCTCGAATGGAAAGCCCTGGCCCACCAGACCCCGGCTCCCCCACCAGCCTGAGTTTCAGAGTTTTGCTTCAGGGAGCCCGAGCTGGTCCCAGGGCCTCACACACCACACAGCCACGGGAAGCCCCAGGCAGACGAGAAGGGAAGATGCCCAGCAGCAGCCGGCCAGGCCCTTCGCACCATGTCCCGCTCAAGCTGGCAGCAAGGGCCGCCCCCTCCCAGGGAGGACACAGCCCCCAAGAAAAGCAGAGCGGAAGCACAGCCAAGAGTCCTGAAGCAAGGTGGGGCAGAGGATCTGGGGTGGTGCGCAAGACCCCTTAACAGTCTACACTGTCCTGGAAGACAAAATCGAGGTGCTAGCTGCCTCTTATATTCTGTGCTGACCGCAGTCAACGCCAGGCTAGGCTGTCAGGATGCACCTACACTCTGAGAAACTTTCGGGCAAAGTTCACACTTGAAAACAATGCTGGACACGCAGGGGTGTGCGTGCACCTGCATTTCCAATCCCAAGGACTCCAGAATCGCCTGGTCTCTTCCCCACGCCCCAAGGAGGTTATTCTTTTCTTGACAGTTTCACACTCTGGACTACAGGTACTTTCTTAGAAAAGAAGGAAACACTCAGGAAATAAACCCCCGCCTGCCTCAGTGTTCAGGATAAAGAACACTTACCTCAAACGTCCCCGCCTTCAGGAGGTTGACTTGGTCGTGCTGAGAGAGGTCTCTGAACCCAGGAATCCGCTTTGCAAACTCCACCACTTCCTTCACTGCTGGCGTGAAGCTCATGGAAAATTCTTCCCAGATTTCATGGCCCGACTTGTGAGGACCCACATACGGAGACTTACTCATCGGGCAGACCTAGTGTACACAGCACAGGGCACCTCTTACCACTGGGAGAGGTGGCGAGAAGTCTCCAAGGCGGCCTCTTCACCACCAGATACCCCGACACACAGGTAACCCCAACAAGTGAAATCTCCTGCTATCAATCCCTGTCCCTGCACTACCTGCCTCACTACAGAAAGCCTCTTGGCAGCCGGTTAAACAGCAACTAGCATACTATCACAAAAAAAGTGGCCTAGGCAAAAATGCCACCAGCAACAACCTGTTCCATGGACCCGCCACACAGGCTTGAGCTGATTTTTCAGCACTGATGCCGCCGCACGCCGTTTGCTGGTCTCAAGCGCCTTATGGTTTTCCACACATACTCATGCACATACATTGAATTCTCAGCCCAGTGGGTCATGGGAGATTATAATTTCTATTTCTTAGATGAGTTAACGGGACTCTAAGAGACTGAGTGATTGAACCAAACACGGCTACAAGTCACAGGCCCAGACCCAACCCACACCTAGTAAACCCTTCACAACTCCCCTAACTAGTAGGGAGAATCACAACAGTGTAACTTGCAAGAGGAAAAGACAATGAGGTGCCTCGTTTTGGTTTTGGTGTTTTGGTCACTGACCATTTATTGAAAAACCAGGGCATGACCACGCCTTCCACCTGTTCAAGCAGGAGCCACTGGCAAAGAGACAAGGCGCACCTACCAACGGGGATGGGTGGGGAGCGCTGGGGGCCGCCAGGCTCTGAGAACGCCAAGGTTCCCAAGCGTGCACCCGCTACTCCAGCACCGGCAACGTCGGCCTCCACACTGTCACAAAAGCCACGCACGCTCCTGGCTGGCTAGAAAACCAGGGGGTGTCGCATGACATCAGACTCTCAACGCCTATAGGACCCGTCCCTCTGTGAGCTACAAGGCAGCCCTGAACCTAGCAAAGCACTCGGGCCACAGAATCAAGTACTTGCAACCAACAAAAAGGGAAGCATGAAGACTGAGGGAGAGTCAACTATCTTGAAAATGAAAAAAGGAAGATTGCAATTCCCTGACAGTAGAAAATACCAAGCGCTACCTAAGGACTGCAGGGCTTAACCTGGAACTGGTAAGGCCCGTTGTTTTTGACAACATTTTGGCTGAATACGAACACTGTACTTTCATGCAAAATGTTGTATTTGAGGGGAAAAAGACTTGAATGACATGAATAAGATTAATTCATCTCATAGGATGAAGTCTGAGAAAATCCTCAGAAACCGGTCTATTAAATTGCTCCTAAATTGCTCCTAAATTCTCAAACAATAAAACATCTGTGTTCTACATCCAAAGACCTTTTCGTATTATAATAGTTTTAAAAAAAGAAAAACTCTTTCTATAGAAATCAAAGCATTTCTGACTATGGCAAAATCAGAGATCAGCCCTTTGAGAAAATCCCAGGCTAGTAAGGTACTAATTAATCAGAATGCTTACATTTCCAAGGGATTTCCAAGAATTAAAGGACCAATTCCACATGAATCGTCATTCCCATAAAGTACTAATCCCGAGCACAGTATTGGCCAAATCACATGCCCGTACCCAGCTCCAAATGAGGTCAGGTCATTCAACAAATGATGTTGATTAAAATTATTTGAGCTGCCGGGTGCGGTGGCTCATGCCTGTAATCCCAGCACTATGGGAGTCCAAGGCAAGAGAACTGTCTGAGCCCAGCGGTTCGAGACCAGCCCAAGCAACATGACGAGACCTCGTCTCGACAGCAAATCAAAAAATTAGCTGGGCGTGACGGCGCGCACCTATGGTTCCAGTGACTTGGAAGGCTGAGGCAGAAGGACCACTTGAGCCCAGCAGGTCAAGGCTGCGGTGGTCATGAGTGTGCCACTGCACTCCATCCTGGATGACAGGGGTGAGACTCTGACTCAAAAACAAAAAATAAAAAGTGGCCTAAAATACTGTACAAAATTGATTCTGTAAGTCTCGCAGGTTTCCTGACACCGCCCGCCCCCTAGGTTGGTATATCCCCTGGGGGAAAGAAAACCACCAAGGCTTTCCTTGATTCAAGGTGAGTAAAAAACAGATTTCACTATACCAGGTGCATTCTCCCGCCAGTGTTGCACAGGTAGCCATTCTTGTTCTCATTCTGAGAAAATCCATCCACCAGCGCTCTATCGCATACTCTTTGAGTATAAGCATTGGAGAAGTTCACACAATGTCCATTTGCCAGACAGACAGCGTGCCCATCTGGGTAATGCATCACGTTCCTCCCTTTGTACTGTCCACTGAGCTGCTGCTGGCTCTCGCTGCGGGGAAAATGGCCGCCAAGCCCGCCGCCACAGCGCTCATGGTTTAAACTGTACGGCTCCACGTGAGTGGGAGCCCGTTCCCTCGGGTGTGGCATGCTCTCGGCAGAGTGTTCGCGTGGCTCTTGATTGTACATGAAGGTGTCCTTGTGGGCTCTGGTCACCATGCCGATCACCTCCTCCTTGGCGAAGTCGGAAGACGGGGGAGGAGAGCTTTTGGCGCTGTCCCGCTCCAGCGGGGGCTTGGGTCGCAGCTGCTCCTGGATGGGTAAGGCCGTCTGCTCGGGACGCTCCACCAGGGCGTCACTCTGCAGGTGGCCACCGAACTGGCTGTTCATCATGGTCTTCATTGCACTCTGCATCTCGATGAGCATCCTCTGCTTTTCGCGCTTAGGAATGCGACCAAACCGAACAGCTAGTAAAAAAAAAAGGCATTCAGCATCCACGTTCATCACCAAATATGAAAGAACAACACAAAATTACCTCTGACGGCCAGACCCTCTAGTCACACAGGCAAAGAGTATGTCACAAGCCTCCGTCCCAGTCTTCTAAACTTGCTGGGCTTCGCGCACCAAAGGAGGTGGAGAGGGAGAAAGAATTTTCCATTTTTCTCCCCAAATGAAGCTCAAAATGAAGACATACCTACTGGGTATTTTACAAGCAAAATTTAAGAAGAAATATGAATTCTTTTTTAAAATATGAAATCGAGCCGGGCTTGGTGGCTCAGACTGTAATCCCGCGCCTTGGGAGGCTGAGGTGAGTGGATTGCCTGAGCCCGCGGGCTCGAGATCCACCTGGGCAACTTGGTGAGACCTCATCTGTACAATAAATCAAAAATTAGCTGGGCGTGGTAGCACGCGTCTGTAGTTCCAGCTACTTGGAAGGCTGAGGGGGAAGGGTCGCCGGAGCCCAGCAGGTCAAGGCTGCAGTGGCCGGGAGTGGCCACGGCACTCCAGTCTGGGCGACAGAGTGAGACTCCAACTCAAAAATAAAAAATAAAAATAAAATAAAATACGAAATCGACGAACAAAAACCACAGCTTGAAGCAGACCGGTGTCACTCCCCAGCACCTCATTAACAAAGCCCGGGGCTGTGTTCCCCAGGGGGCCTGTGGGATTTTGGCTGCCCACACCCATTACATTAACGGAACCTGGTGGGTACCATCACTCCCCAGACATCTGAACCTTGCCACGCCACTGTGGCAACCTTATTCTCAAGACCCAACTATTAAATTATCTGCTCTCTTCCAGTTTCTTAAAAAAGAAAATCTTTTTTTAAAAAAATGCCACGGCCGGGCTCGGTGGCTCAGCCTATAATCCCAGCACTTTGGGAGGCCGAAGTGAGTGGATTGCCTGAGCCCGCGGGATCGTGACCCGCCTGGGCAATTTGACAAGACCTCATCTCTACAACAAATCAAAAATTAGCCGGGAGTGGTGGCGCGCGCCTGTAGTTCCAGCTACTTGGAAGGCTGAGGCGGGAGGATCGCCAGAGCCCAGCAGGTCGAGGCTGCGATGGCCGGGAGCGGCCACTGCACTCCAGTCTGGGCGACAGAGTGAGATTCCAACTCAAAAAAAATGCCACAATCAATAGAAATGCAGTTACTGGCAAGCCAACTTGCTGGGCTTTAATTAAAATCAATGAAATAAGTAAAAATGAGATCAGTCGTTCTCCATACTTTTAGAAGTCAATCTTAGAAGGTGCCCTGCCTCCAACAATTCTATCTCTGAGGGAATGAAAAGTCTTCGAGTCTCATATTTATTAGAGGATAAAGAGTCAATACAGCCACCCAGAAAGCCGTACTGACCTCACCTAGCCTCTGACATTGTCACGAACAAGACAGACAATGTCATCATGTCTCAGACTTCACCTCTACCCCTTCCTCACAAATGATGGCCAGTTTTGCTCTTTTGGGGCAATCATAATACCGAGTGACATGTTTATAGCACGAGTACCTCTTAGTGCTACCCAAAAAAAAAATACAGAAACAAAACGTCACTTGCTGACACCTGCTGTTCCCGAAACTCCTTGCTGCAATACCCTAGATCTGTGTCGGCAAGATGCTAGTTAGTGTAACCACTAGGCGACTGCTTCAGGGACTCTCCCCCCTAGACAAACAGGAAGTGAATTCCAGGTCATTCCGAACTAGCCCTGCTGGACCAATCCTTCTGAAAACCTCACACCTCTCTGTGACGTGACTCAAAGCCAAAGAGACTACCCCAAAACACGTCCCTCTCCCCCTGGCATCGCGCACACACAGTCCCACAAGTCGGCACAGCATCTTCTCTACCCCAGACCCTGACGCTCTTTCCCGCGGCATCTCCAGCCCCAAGAGAAACATTACCACCTCAGGGCTGGGAAAGTGAGAGAGAGAGTTCACGTTAGAAAGAAATGAGCTACACGCAGTGGCTCACGCCTGTAATCCCAGCACTTTAGGAGGCAGAGGCGAGAGGACTGCCTGAGTTCAGGGTTCGAGACCGGCGTGGGCAATGTGGCGAGACCTTGTCTCCACAATAAATCAAAAAAATTAGCCAAGCATGGTGGTGTACACTTGTGGTTCCAGCTACTTGGAAGGTTGAGGTGGAAGGATCGCCTGAGCCCAGCAGATTGAGACTGTGGTGGCCAGAAGCATGCCACTGTACTCTAGCATAAGTGAGAGTGAGACTCTTACTAAAAAAAAAAAAAGGACGAAATGAGGCCGGCATGGAGGGTCATGCCTGCAATCCCAGCACTCTGGGAGGCCAAGGCAGGAGGGCCGCTTGAGACTACCCTGGGAACATAGCAAGACCCCACCCCTACAAAAAACTTTAAAACTAGCCAAGTGTGGTGACACGTACCTGTAGTTCCAGCTACTGGGGAGGCTGAGGCAGGAGGATCACGTGAGCCCAAGAATTTGAGGCTGCCGTGAGCCATAATCACACCACTGCACCCTAGCCTGGGCAGCAGAACAAAACCCCATCTCTTTTAAAAAATTTTTAACAAAATGAAAGTAACTAAAAAAAGCAAAAAGAAGAAAAAGTGGATTCCTCAGTAATGCTAAGAAATCAAAACCAAAGAGCCAAAGATTCCTACATAAAGGACAAATACAAATTCATCAAACTGCGTGGAAAAAAACGCATCTTTTTATAAGCAACAATAAAAAAAGGGGAATCAGTCGGGCTCGGTGGCTCAGCCTGTAATCCCGTGTCTTGGGAGGCTGAGGTGAGTGGACCACCTGAGCCCACGGGTTCAAGACCCGCCTGGGCAACCTGGCGAGACCTCATCTCTACAATAAATCAAAAAATGAGCC